TAAACCTCACTTAAATTTATTATAATTTTTTTTATAGACTTCTTTTTTCTAAATTAACTTTGATTTTAATATAATGTTTCATTAGAATTTTTGTTGGGAAAAATTATATTACAATCTAATCCCAATGAGAAACATTTTTTTTAATTTACTTTTTTAATTTATGCTTTTTCTTATTAATGAAGATTATTAACAAAGAATGAGAGTATAATGCTATATATCTTGCTTTGAATTAAGTACTGTTATTTTTAACATATTCTTGACTTAACATCATTTATATTCTCTCTTAGTTTGAGTTGAAATAATACCACTCATTCTGTAATTATTTCACTAACAAGGTGGTTCGTAATTTGAGACAACAAATGACAAACATTCTATATTTACAAAAGCACATTGTATAATATAATATAATTATTGTTTAATTAAATAACTATACTGAACATTTAAACCAACTTAAAGAGACTCAATATTTCAAATAAAAATGTTATTTTTTTGGAAATTACTTTTGGTTCTACTCAAAGAAATAAAGAAGATATTATTAATAAAAACAAATCGTTTCACAATACATCTACTAACGTAGTAGATGAAATGAATAAAAGTAATATATCAACAATTCAAGTAGTGCAAAAATAAAATTAGAGAATTGAAAGAAATAATAAAAAGGAAATAATAATTCTGAACAAACTTTGAATTAAAAACTATATTCAAGTGTAGAAAATCTACAAGAAAATGAATTAAACTCCATTACTCTTTTGAGTCACATTCATCCTGTTTGACTCTAACATTCCATCCTCTTTGTACAGTTTCAATTGGGTCAAAAAGGATTTTAATGATAATAGGATCATTTCTATCTAATTTTCCAAGTTTATCAACATTATCAGTTAGAGAAAATACATACCTATTCAATGCAACTCCACGAACCATCATTTCTTCTTGACTAAAGAGGAGTTGTGAGTGATAGAATGTCTTTCTTATTTTTTCTAATTGAATAACACCACCAGCATTTCGAGCCATTTTAGTTTCAAAAAAATAGCCAAGTTCAGTTGCAATATCTAAGAGGAGGTTTGAAAGAAAAATAAAACGATTTTTATCAAATCTTCTTTTTACACGTTCTTTACTTATTCCATGAGATAATTCTACTTCTGAACGAGCTTTACAACAACTATCAACTAATTCAGCAACTTCAATTGTTTCTTTTAATAAACTAAAAGATTTTACTTTTAGAGTCTGAAAAGTAACTTTAGAACGTTTAATTGGACGTTCTAAAATGAAACTCCCAAATTTATTAAGAAGAGCAATGAGGAAAGCTTGTTGAATAGACTCAAAATTTTTCATATTTCTTTTTGATTGCACATAAGTTGAAACTAATTTCTTTGATAATAAAGAAGTTGAATGACATTCTGAAGGAAGTTCTCTAAAAGAAGAATAAACAGACATAGTATTAAGAAATGATGTTGTTGAATAATTTTGGTAGATGAGTTTATATATCAAAGAAATACAATTTTACTTAAAGGTTCAATTAACTATTAAAATTCGTAGGATGGTTTGAATAGTTTCAATAAAAAAAATATTTTTAGCGCAAGTATATTTCATCTAAACTATCTTCTTGAAATTTATTATTTTTTTTTTGATAGTACATTATTATTATTCTTTTTAACTATTTATACTATTCATATCTCTTTACTCACCTTTTGGGGGTTCTATTAGTAATTCTTAACATGAACTTTTGGTATAAAGTAGATATTCTTAATATATCAGGAAATTTACTTTTCAATTTCTTCTTTTTTTTTAATTCTTGATTTTTCTTACTGATATCTCTCGTTCCAAAAATGTTGTGTCATTTTATTTCAATTAAAATTACATTTTTTTATATATTTTTAGAATAGGGGTAGTTCTATTACTCTCACAATTATATCTATTTGTTCCGGTATTCTTGTTCTGGCAAATAGCTTTAGACACAAATTATTTGTTCCACTTGTTTTTGAGTTGTATTTTTAAAATCGTAAAAAAAACTGAAAATCTTTATTTATTTAATAACAAATAAACCTTCTTTAAACGTCTATAAAATTTATCTTTTTCTTTTATATTTTAAAACTATTTGTTGAATTGTTATTTTAGTTCAATTGCAAATAGTTTGAAATAAGATGACAAACTATAAATTATAGCACATTATATTATTATTGTATTATATTCTGTGTAAAATTTGTATTTTTTATTGAATTATCATAAAAATGAAGGACTGTGTTTTTAATTCGTTTAATTCAAAATTAAAATAGAACCTAAACTAAAAAATGAACTTAATTCTTTGAGTAATAACAGTTAGAATAAATTAACTATCATAAAAAGTCTTTAATCATTTTGTTTCCATTACTCTTTTCATTTATTTCTAATTCTTCTTATTATTTTATGCCATTAAATAAAAAAAATATTAGTACTTCATTCTGTTTATTGAAACAACTCATTTTATTCTTTCTTTCTTCTTTTGTTTGTATTTGGTTAATTAATATTTTGTAGCTGGTTATAAACAAAATGAATTTTTTCTTTTTTTTCTATTTTATTTCTCTTTAACTTATAATATATCTCTTTTACTCATTCAGACTCCTTTTTATTTGCTTTCTCTTTTGAACCTTGTTTTCATTAAAAATTTTGACTTATCTCTTCTAAAGCTATTTGAAACACAGTTATATTTTTTATAAATAAGAAAAATATAGTTGATTCTGAATCATTTAATTAATTTCTCTTTTTCATTTAAAATAGAAAGTGTTTTTTTTTTTAATGAAATAATTTGTTGGTAATGAGAAATTCCCAGTTATTCACCTCTAAGAAAAATATTTATTTTGACTTATATCATCTTTGATATTTTAAAAGTTTTTGTTGAGTCTTTAATTTCACATTGTTAATGATGAGACGATATTCATTCTAAAGCAAGGTTATTTGAAATATATTTTAGTCTAATCTGTATCTTTTATGTCAAACTTAATGAGAATTTTAAACTTTTTTAATATGAAAAGAACTAAAAATAAGAAACAAATTTTTATTACAAATCTTCTTTTGAAAAAAAAAGAACTAGTTATTAAGTAATTATGAGTTTTTTGAACAACTACCAATGGAATTTACCATTCTTAAATTAATGAATAAAATTTTTTTATTGAACAATGTGATTAACATCATAATGACATACATCTTCTAAATTATTCAATTCTAAATAAACCTTTAAATAATGAAAATAATTCATAATTTCCTTTTAACACATTTAATCAGCCAATCTACTTAATGTCTCAAATCTTAGTCTTATTATCTTTCAATTTAATCCAAATACAACAACAAATTCATTTAAACCATTCCCTCATCCCTTTTAAAAAATAATGTAATACTATCTTCTCTTTTTAAATTCAAACTTTTTCAAACTACTTTGAACTATTCTCAATATCAGACAAAGAATCAAATAACAATTTATTTTAAACATTTTCCAGCAAATACCTCTAAAGAAACTTCAATTACAATCACTTCAAACTATTGATGGAATAGTATTGAGTCTGAAAGAAAAATTGGTTAAGAATGGTAATAGTGATGTTATTAAAAGTGATGTTGTTGAATAAATGACTTTTTCTTTAAAAATAATCAAGAAATGATACTAAAAATGACATAAGAAAAATAAATAAAATGAACAATTAAAAACAAAAAAAGATTAAAAAAACTCTTTGATTGTTAGAATAACATGAAAAAACATAATTAAATAAACCCTATTTTATTTCTCATTATTTCTTTATTTTAAAAAATTAAAATTTTTTTAATTTAAAACCACTTGTCTTAATTTATTTCTTACCAATTTTCTTGCCTGGAACAACTTTCTTGTTTCCTTTAGATTTCTTTGGTGCTGCTTGTTTCTTTGGATATTTCTTATAAATCTTTTCAACTTGTTCTTCTTTCTTTTCTACAGCAGCTTTTGGTGTAACTTTCTTTTCAGTGGTGGTTTTGCTTTTCTTTGATGCTTTTTGAATACCAGCCTTTTGCATCTTGTTCTTCTTAATAGTTTCATTGACTTGTTGTAATAATGGTTTCTTAATTCCTTTGTCAAGTGGAAGATTAACAAGAGTTTCTGTTCCTTTACCAATAACAAAGACATTGTTTAATCTAGTAGTGAAAGTGTTTCCTTTAGCATCTTTAATGTGAACAATTTCAAATGATCCTGGATGAACTTCTCTTTTAACAATAACTCCAACACGACCCATACCATTACCACCAATCATCATAGCAGTATTTCCAATATCAAACTTAACAAAATCAACAATTTTTCCTGTTTCAAGATTAAGTTTGATTGTATCATTAGCTTGAAGTTCTGGATGTGGATATCTAATAGTTCTACCATCATGAGTAACAATGTATGGAATAGCACCAGTTCCAAGTACTCTCTTTTCAATTTTGCATAACTTGAACTAATAAAATAAGTATTCTTTCTTATTCTTGAAAAATATGTACTTCCTTGTCATGAAACTGTCAATAACATCAGTTCTTTGCAACATAATATAAATTGTCTTCAATTTAAATTCAGTTCTCCAAGAAATTCATCATATGTAATTGATCAGTTTCTTTATGACAAATTAAATACATTTTAGTTTAAATTTAATAAAAACAAACTTTTGCTTGTTCAGCAGTTAATGGAACTAAACAAAATCTTCTTTTGGTGTTATACATTAATCTAAAGTTTTCTTTAGTTCTTGGGATAGAAAGAACATCCATAAATCCAACTGGATATCTAGTGTCAGTTCTAATCTTTCCGTCAATTTTGATTGTTCTGTTCTTAACAATCATTGTAACTTCTCTTCCGTTTAATGCATAGTTCAATCTATTTCTCAAAATGAGAATAAGTGGAAGACATTCTTTCATTCCATGTGGTCCATGTGATGGTTTTGGTGCAAAAGTTCCTCCTAATTTAGAAAGCATCCAATGATGTGGGGCATTTAATCTCTTCAAGTGGTGTCTTGGTCCTCTAGCCATTTCAGAAAACGACTGGTTGAATTATCTTAAAATACAAAACCCTTTTTTTCTTTTTAACTAATTCTATTTTACTAGTTTATTTAATTATTCTTCTAATTTTCTTTTATATTTGATTTAAAATAGTTTGTTTAATAATATTTATAACTTTTTTATTTGTTATACCAATATAAATATTTTTAAAAAGTAAATAACACAAATAAAAAATGAATTAATTGTTTTGTCTTTCATAACGTTGTTTATTCAAATCTTTTAATTTTTTCTCAGCAGCATCTAATTCTCTTCTTAATTTAAGCACTTTAATTTGTGCTTCTCGTTCTTTGACAATCAGTTGATAATCAGTTAATTTACTAAAATCAACACTCTCATCTTTTTCTTCTTTGAGTCCACTAATTGCATTAACTGCTTTTACAAGTAATTCTGTAGCTTCTTTAACACTCTTTGATGCGTTTTCAACTTTACCTAATGTTGGTGAATCAAAATCAGCTTTGGATCGTGCTGCAGTGACTAATTGAACGGTAGCTTTAGCAACTTCACGACTAGAAGCAATTAATGCATCTTCATTCTTTTCACAACCAGGTGTAACATTATTATTGGCAACAGTAACAATTTCTTTTGTAGCTTCTGCAACTGCCTTTCCTGCAGTAACTAATCCCTCAGACCAAACTTGATTTGGAGCATATGGTTTTGTTGGTGTAGCTAATTTCTTTCCTAATGCAACTCTTTCTTTTTGAGCTAAAGCTGCAGCATTAACAAGTGCAGCAGTTGCTTTAGCAATAGCTTGTGCACTTTCCATAATTGCTTGGTTAACATCCATTTCAGCACTTACTCCTTTCTTTGATTGCTTTAACCATTTTTCAAGGTCTTTAGCTAAACTGTTGATAGAATCAGCTGCTTTTAATAATTCTCGTTCAGCATCATCATCAATTCCACTCAAATTAACTGCTTCAGCAACTTCTTCAATTCCTTCTACAAGAGTTTTTTCTTTCGTCATATTGATATTAAAAACATCACCAGCTTCATTGACATGTTCTCTATCATTCCATTTATTCATTAATACTTTAACACTATCATATAAATCAGATGTAGTTTGTCTTAATTGTAATTTCATTGCTTCATCTGCAATTTTTGGTTCAACTCCTTTAAGGTCTTCTAATAATGTTTGCATTGATTTATGGAAATTCTCTAATTCTTTTTCTGCTTCTTTTGGATGATTTTGTTCTAATGCCATTCTATAAGCATTTCCAGTAGCATTAAGAATAGTTAAATCTCTTAGAACAGTTTCTTTAGTAGCATTTTTATTTCCTTCAATTGTCATGTCATTAAAGTTTTTCATCATTTCTTCAAATTCTTTTTCTACTCCCTTAACATTTGCTCCAACAACTCTCCAATAATCTTCTTCTCTTTCTTTTTCTAATATTTCATATTTTTGTTCCATTTCATTAACTTTTAATTCAAGTTCTTTTAATTGTTGTATTTTATTTTCTTTTTCTTTATTGAGTTGTTCAATATTCATAATATACTCTTGATTCTTATCTTGTAACTTTTTTAATTCAACTTTCATTGTCTCATTTTCTAATTCTTTATTTTTCTTATATTCATTCCATTCTTCCTCTTTCTTCTTCCAATTATTAAGTTCTTTCTTTTGTTCTTCTAATTCTTGGATTAATTTCTTTTCATTTTCTCCAAAACTACTTTCTCTTAATTTTAATTCTTCAAGTTGTTTTTCTAATTCTTGAATCACTTTTTGTGCTTCTTCAACTTTATGTGAAAATTCTTCTTTTAATTGAGTCTCTTTTGCCATAACTTCTTTTAATTGATTTAATTCATTTTCAATTTGTTTTCTTTTTTCTTCTTCTTCTTTTAGTTGTCTTTCTTTTTCATTTAGTTGTTGTTGAATTTCTTTTAATTCTTTAATTTCTTCTTCTTTTTTTGCCAACTCTTTCTTTAATTCTTCTGTTTCTGAACTTTTTTCTTTCCATTCTTCAATTTCTTTTTTCAGTTGTTCAATAATAGCTTCTAATTCCTTAATTTTATCATTATTTCCTACTTCTTTTTCTTCATTTAATTGTTTTAATTCTCGTTTATGTTTTGCTTTTAATTGGTCAATAGTTATTTTTAATTCATTAATTTGTTCTTCAAGTTCTTTAATTCTTTTGAGTAATTTATTGATTCGATCCATATCTACAACCTTTTCTACTTTAACAATAACTTCTTTTTCTTTTTCAATAGCAACAGGTTGTTTCTTTTGTTCTTCTTTAGCAAAATCAAATGGTGCAAGTGCTGGTTGTTGTGGAACTGGTTTAACTTCTTCAAACTTGTTGAAATCAAATGGCTCAAATGCCTGTTGTTGTGGTTCTTGTTTTGGTGGTGGGGTTGGTTCTTTAGGAGGTGGAGTTGGTGATCTTGGATGACCTAAAGTAATAACACTAAAATCAGGTGGTTGAGAAGACAATTGTGGAACAGTAACCAAGGCAGTAACATCTCTAATAACACTAATTTGGTCGAATATACTTTTAAGGTCATAATGCATTGTATTAAATTGTGAAATTAAGTCTTTATATCGTTGGTCATGATGAAGAGAAACAAAGGTATTAAAAATAATTTCATAAAACATATAATAGATACCATTTAATTCTCTCATTAAAGTAACTAACATTGCCATAAGTGATAATATTCTTTTTGCATTTAACACTTTTAAAATAGCATTAGTATCATCTTGACATACTCGTAAATGTTTCATTAATGGTTCAATAACTGCACTAGCACTTTCATAAGAATCAATTTTCATCCGACCAATAACTTTCTTGAATAAATCTGGATCCATTGATCCTGGAATAAATCTATTATTTGTATGTAATTCAACTTTACTTTCTAATACTCTGATGAATTTAAGGAATAAATCAGTTGCAACATTCCGTGGTTGTGAGCGCTTGAATCTATCTAATTCTGGAATCCATCCTAAATCAAATGTTCTAGTTGTACAAGCTTGTTGAGGTCCATCAAGCATAATTCTATGAATAATTTCCAAAGCTTTCATTTGAGTAACTGGTGTTCCTTTTTTTATTTTTTCTAATAATTGATGATAGAGCATGACACAATATTGTTCAGTACTACATGAGCAAATTAATTTTCTAACATGCTTATCTTTTGGAAAAGAGTCAGCAGGATCAGTTGCTTTATTAATAGTTTTCTCCATTAAATAATCAAAGATGAGATTTTTTCAAGTTCTCATTCTGCCGTTATAGCCATTTTTAGACTTATTTCACTAAGCAAACAAAACTGCATATTTATTGTTCTTTTTTCCTTGTTTTTTTTGGTTTTGATGATTCTTGCTTACCAAAATGATGTTAAATTTCTTTGGAAAATTAATTTTTTTTTTGTTATTCATCTCAACAATTATGATATTCATGAGAAATGAATGGATAAGAAGAGTAGTTTGATATAATGAAACAAAGAAATGAATTATACCACTAAACAAGAATCATTTTGATACTCATTATAAATGTTGTAAACAAATGGTTCTTGTCCATAATTGATATGTAGTTCCTTAAATAAGCTAAGTGATATTGCTGCATCAATCCCTTCCCAGTCAATCTTTTTGGTATAACCTTTTATTCCATCACAAGTAAAAAAGACTTCATGAGTAATTGAATTAAAGCCACATCCAATAACATTTTTATTTCCATCATATAAACCATAAGGTTTGAATGAACAAGCGATTTTATGATCACCTTCATAAACATTTCCACTATCGTTCATATATCCAATAGAATATTTGATGTTACCAATATACTCCTATTTTTTTTAATTTTTATTTTATAGAAGACTTTTATTTATAAACAATAACAAACTGTTTCATCATATTCAAATTTTGTTGAGTGAATTATACCAATAGACATTAATGACTGGTGTTGTACTGTTACTTCAAAATATCTGATAGAAGAATCAACAACTTTTCCAGTACCATTTGGAAATACTAAATACATATTCTTACGATCATCTTCTTTCTTATAAAAATTACTTGAAAAAAGAGTATTGATTAACCACGAACTTACTTGTTTTTTTAATCGAATTTCAGGTCCACGAGATTGAACTCTTGAACAACTTACATAAAACCATCTTACTTGGAATAGTTTATTGTAATTATTAGAACTCATTTTGGTAAATAATTGTAGTGATGGTAAAAAGATACAACTTTGAATTATTTCTTGGAATTTTGTATAATTAACTCCACAATATTGTAATGGAGAAATTAAATCTTCTTCGTCTATATCTTGATCTTCTGGTAATTGATTTATTTTATCAATGTTATAAAAACTAATCTCTGAACATTCTTCTATTTGAACAAATATATCTTTGAATGAAATTGGATTAAAGTAACAATTTCTACTTGCCATTATAACAAATTCTTTTAGAGAGTCCATTTTAATGTTCATTGTTACCTCTTCAACATCTTGTAATATAACTGATTCTATTGGACTAAATTTTAATTCAATAGAACAATAACTACATCCTTCAATAGCAATTTCATTGATGTTTATTGTTTTATCTTTACCAATGAATTGAATGTCATGACTTCCTAAAATATTCACTTCTCTTAATAATGGATAATCCCCTTCAAATGAAATATTCCCACATTCATTTAATGTTAATATTTGAAGATAATCCATGTTAATTGGCATTAAATAATAGTCATCTGATTGATATTCAAAATTAAGTGTTAGTTCTAGTGTTAATACACATTTTGGTATATTCCAATTATCATATTTTTTTCTTTTAAAAACATCTCCTTCTTCTTGTTCAAATGGTTTTTCAAAATGAAGTTTAATAATATCTGCATAACATTTTTCTATAATAGAATTAAATCTATTACAATTAAGTGTACCTTTAATATCAATTTTTCCTTCATCACATTCAATTGCTTCACTCATAAATTCACATTGATTATCACTAAAAGCAGTATAATGATACTCAATTCCATCAAAACATTTTAATTCTTCTTTTGATTTAACATGGGTATTAGTTGTATATTCTATTTGAGTCATGCCATTATGAGGAAGGTACTTCTTTATTTGACTAATCAAATTTTGTTCCGTAGAACTACTTCTTTTGACTAAATTAAATAATTCAACTCTTGTTGGAAAGTGAACAAACATTTGACTACCATTGTCAGTAAATTTTTTGAAAAATGCAATAACTAATTCAATGTCTCCTCTGACACATCTTAAGTTATTAAATTGTTGAGCATTCTCAATAAAAAATTGAGATGTTTCTTCAGGCATTCTTGATTCAGGATGGGTTTCAGATTCATCTGTATAATACAATGATATATGATAAACTTTTGGTAGTATTGATGTAATGTCATTTATATTAGATTTTAAAATACTATTAAACATTGGATTTCTTATATTTGAGACTTTGTTAAATAGTTGTTTAGAAAAGAAACAATAAGATAAACAATTCATTGTTTCAGGATTAAAATTTGTACAAAATTTAATAACACTTTCACTACTAGCAAACCATGGATTAATTTTTAGTCGTTCAATTGCTTCTTTACAAGTTTTACTAACTTGAAGAAATTTAAATATGTCTGAATAAGTTTCAAAATGTAATGCGACATGCATTAAATAAATAGCTTCCAAGCTAATCATTTAAATTCAATATAAAGTTCTCAAAGAATAAAAAAAAAATAAGAGAAGAAGATGAAATTATTTATAATTTGGGATTTTATTATTTAAGAAAATAAAGTAATTTATTAAGTATTAATAGAATTTTCAAATAAACATTACAATTAAATCAATCATTAAAAGAATTTATGGTTATTGTAACGACTTATCATTGACTGTTCTATTTTCATGAACAAGAGTTGGAGTACCTTGTTCACTAAATCGTTGACAAATAGCATTTCTAAAAACTAAAGTAGATGCTGCAATAGCAACAACATTAGATAATCTACTTCTTTTAGGTAGATATTTTTCCTTTGGACTTTTGTATTGATAATTTATTCCAATTAATGTTTTTTTAAAAATGTACTGAACAGTAGTAAATTTAAAAGAAGTTCTACCAACATTATTTAATTCATCACAAGGATCAATAATCATTGGACATGATTCAGAATCATCTTCAGATCGATATTTACAATATCCACTAATTAATGAAACAGCAGTCATTCTCATTTTAAATAATGATCCATAAAAATTAAGAAATCCAGTAATAGCAATACCACAGTCTTCTGTTGGATTATTTTTGAGATATGTACAAACTAAAAGAATAATTGCATATGAACCTAAACCACCATGATATGGTTCATTTAATGAATTTTGAAATAATAAAAATTTAATAAATAATGAAAGTGTTCTTGCTAATGGGAATTCAGTTAATAATGTTTTAATATAACTAGTAGTTACAATCCCATTATCACAATCAACAGAAATATCAATTGATAATGCACATTCTAAATCAGTTAATTTAACAATAGGTATTTTAGCATTAGTAATTACATCATCTACTCTAATACTTTTTATTGTTCTACAAAGTTGAGCAACTCTTTTTAATATTCTAATTTTTCTTCCTATAGATAAAGAAGGTAATTGAGGAAATAATAATGCAATATCAACATCACTTGATGGTAATGATAATCCATAAACAAAACTTCCATATACTTGAACTTCACAATGTTCAATATTATTTTCAAAGAGTTGTTTAAGTTTATCAACACAATAATTTCTACATCTAATTTCTTCTGGTGTTAATTGAATGAATTGTTCAAATAATTTCATTTCTTTATCTAATGTTAAACACTCTTTCTTTTTTGTTCCATTTAACCATGCTGCCATCTTATCTTCTTTCTCTTTAACTTCTTTTATCTTTCAAAGTTTTAATTCAAAGGGTTTTTTTTAAAATTCTTTTGCTTTTCTTTATTTTTTCTTTTTTGCTGAACTTCTTCTTTTCTCTCCTTTTTTCATTCTTTTTGGAAAAAATAGGGTTTTTTAAGGTTTTTTATTTTTAAAATTCTTACTATAAAATAAGTTATAATTATTAAAAATACTAATGTATTAATTACTTTTTATCAATTTTAATAAATAACAGAAGAATTACTTATTTTGAAAAAGAAAAATGTAATTAAAAACAAAAATAAATGAAAATGCTATAAAAAGATTAAAAAATTTTGTTATAAAGAAAACAAAAAAAAAATTTGACGAAAAAGAACTTTAAGGATTAGTCAATGTCTAAACGTTTATTAAAAAGAGTATCACAAACAGAAGTATTTCAAAATTATGGAATTCAAGAAGGAATAATATTAGATAATGAAACAAATAAATATCGAATATCAAAAGTTATTGGATATGGAGCATTTGGTATTGTTTTTTTAGCTACTAATATAAAAACAGGTGAGGTTAATGCAATTAAGAGAGTGTCACAAGGTAAACGGTTTAAAGTTTGTTATAATTATTAAGTATAATAACCAATTAAAAAAAAAGAAGTAAAGAATATTTGTTTAAAGAAAATAATAAATAAATAAGTGAGAAAATAATAATGAATATAGAACAAAGAATTAAGAATACAAGAAATACTTCATCATCAAAATGTAATAAAATTAAAAGATTCATTTTTGAGTAAGTTATCAAATGTTTGTTTATTTTAATTTTGTTAAGAACGGACATAAATAATTAAACCAGTGTTTTTTTTTTAAAGAATAAAAAAACAAACAAACTACTAACATCATTATTAGAGCTCAAGTTTTTGTTTAAATTTAGTTATGGATTATTTACCACAAAATCTTTATCAATTTATGAGAAGTTTAAAAAAAAAAGTACCAACTATATATATTAGATTATTTTCATATGAACTTATTCGGGGATTAGCATATCTTCATTCATTAAATATAATTCATCAAGATATTAAACCAGAAAATATTTTAGTTAATAAAAATACAGGTGATTTAAAGATTTGTGATTTTGGAAGTGCAAAAAATATTTTAGATTCATCAGAACCAAATGTTTCATATATTTGTTCACGGCATTACCGAGCACCAGAATTAGTATTTAGAACAAGTAAATATAATAGTTCTATTGATATTTGGTCTTATGGATGTATTCTTGCAGAGATGTTCTTAGGAAAACCACTTTTTCCAGGGAGTAGTACTTCAGATCAAGTTGTAAAAATAATAAAAATTATTGGAACACCTACAGAAGAAGAGATGAAAGCAATGAACAATGAAATTCCTCCACCAATATTACCTAAAGTTGATGGAATTGGAATTGAAAATACATTGAGTTCATTTAAACCTCCTGTTCAGGCTATTACTATTTTAACTCATACATTACAATACTCACCTGAAAAACGATTAAGTGCTTCAAAATTACTTACAAGTGAATTTCATAAAGAATTATTTAATGAAGGAGTTTTATTACCAAATGGAAATCCAATACCAATTTTAACTCAATATGATGAAGATGAGTGGAAAAGAGGAAAGGAGAATGAAACAATAGATAAAATGAAAGAATTTGTTGAAGGAGAAAAGAAACGTATTCTTTCACAAAATTCAATTAGAAAAGATAAAGAAACAAAGGATATTATTTCAGATGCAAAATAATCTATTTTTAATGTGGAACATAGCATAAATTAAAATATTTATTTTTCTGGTTTGAAGATTTTTTTTATTTTTTAAGTCATCAATTCAACATTTTGCCATTTTTATTTGGATTTTTTCTTCTTTTCTGGAGTTATTCTTTTCTTTTTTTTTCTTTTCATTAAAACATGTTGAAACAGAGAAATGTCTTTAGTGTTTTTTATTTCAATTCAATAAATACAGGTAGTTTGACGTTGACTCTTTATTTGTTTCTTAAAAAGGTTAATTTCATTTTTAAAAAACATATATTTTTTTCTATTCTTTACAGAAACTAAGGAAAGTCATAACATTAAGAAAGAAAATAAAAGCCAAACTCATTTTAAATTCATTGAAAAAGTCATTTTCTTTTTAACTCAAAAGTATAGTATTAATAAAAGTAGAGAATAATAAGATTTTATAAGATTATCAACAAGTTGTCAAATATCATTAACAAGAATTGTTTATTTTTTTATGTGAAGGAAATAGAATTTGAAAAAAAAAAATAAAGCAAAAAAGTGTATATTTTTAACCACGTATCACTTCGTGGAAGAAAAGGAAGAAATATAAAAAGATTATCAATCACATCTTATTAAATTAGATTGTATTAAATTGTTAAAGTATGTGTATTGAAGAAACACTTTGTGTTGAAAATGAAAAGAAAAGAATTAAGAGTGCTTTCATTCCTGTTACCTTTAATGATGAACAAGTTACTATTGTTGATAAACAAAAGAAAAAGAGAATTTCACCAGAATTTCAAAATTTTTGTAGATATCTTAGAGAAAGACAAAACCAAATGCCATTACCTGATTTAACAATTGCTACACCATTTATGAGACCACAATTAGTTGATTGGTTATTTAAAACATCAGAATATCTTCATCTTTCAAAGAAAATAATCTTTCAAACATTAACATTAGTTGATTTATATACAACAAGAGTAGTTGTTAATTCAGATGAACTTGGATTAATATTTGTAACATCATTATTTAGTTGTTCTAAGTTTGAGTCTACAGGAATTAAAGTTAGTGATGTACAAAAATTATGTAATAATAAATATGGGAAAGAAGATATTATTGGAATGGAAAAGAAGTTATTAGAGTCTATTAATTATAAAATAGATAATCCTACGTCATATGACTTTTTAAATATTCTTTGGGAAGCAGCAGGATATCCACAATATAATCAAGAAGAAAGAAATCATCCAATTATTGAAGCAAGTATTCAATTTCTTCAAATAATGACATTAGATCCATTTTATACAAGTAATTCACCATCATCACTTGCAGGATCAGCATTTTTCTTTGCACGAGATTTTTGTCATTTTGTTAATTTATGGGATATGAGATATCAACGATGTTTAATGATGAAGAAAGAAGAAGTAAGAGAAGTTGCAATCGACTTTGTTCCCAAAATGCAATATTGTGTAATGAATCAAAATAAAAGTTCATTTAAAGTATGTATTGATTTTGGAAGAATGATTGAAAATCATAGAAGAAAATATTGTGAATGTATAAAACACATTCAATCAAAAAATACTAAACCACAATGTTTTTGGGATAATAATGACGTGAAGAATTTTGATTGAAAAGGAATAAAGGGAAACTCTACTTGTAATTTTAATACTAATAGACATTAATTTATTGTTTTTTTTATTTAATGGTTATTTGATTTAATAATAAAAGTAATAATAATAAATTAAACTAAGGTTATTAAAAGTAATAATCCATTGTTCAGGTGAGAATTTCTTCTCATCCTTCACTCTCTTTCGAGTCTTCTTCATCTGGTTCTTCTACATCACTATATTCACCAGCATAGTCTCTACAGTATTTCATAATATCTTTCATATTCTTAATTACTATCTCTTTTGCAATAATCACCCATGGAATTTTGATTCATTCTGCCTCCATCATTCTCACCGATTCTTTGTTAATCAATCAGTTCACGGTTATTACAATTGGAATGGTTATTACTCTGTTTATTCTTTTCACTCTTCTGATGTATTCCTACAGCTTAGAATACATGTTCACTTTCTCTGTGAATGCAGAACTTATTCTCTTCTCTCTCACTGTTTTCATATCTATTATGATTGATTCTTTCTTCTTTAATTATCGAACATAAATGTCAAGTCTTTTGTGAAATTTGCTTTCTTGCTTGCTTACAAACTCTTGGTTCCATACCATGAGAATATTTTCTTTTTGTATTTTTCTTTGGGTTTTCCTAAATTCATCTTTTCTTATGACTAGCTTCTTCTTGTTTTCTTCTTCACGACTTCTTTGTGCTGCCTCATCGCCATATATTTTATATTTGATTTTCAAGACTCTTCAGATGTTCTTTCCCACTCTATCGTGTTTGTACATACGTTCTTTCTTTGTAACAATGCAGTTCAACGAGATATGGTCAATTGTTGCTGTTTTGTTACATATTGGACACATTGAATATTTCTGTTCATGTGGGATGGCAGCTTTTCTTACTCAAATATTTGTTGCTTTTTCTTGCATTCTCTTCACTTGGATATATGCTTTCCTGTTTATATTGATTTGTTCCCATACTTTCCTTAACTTGCTCTGCTCTGTCATTTTGTTTTCAAATGCGTTTAATACTTCACTGTTCACTTTCTTCTTCCTTCATTCATTCAAGTATTGTGTTTGGAATCCTTCTTTCAGATATTTGACTATCTGTCCTTTATCTCGTTTTCCATTCTCTTTTTTATATAATAGCTTCTTCAATTCTTCTCTGTTCAGTCTTTTTCCACATGCTTTGTAGAATCTATTCCACATCCCATTCTTCCCTTCATTCATTCGGATCATATTGCCTATTCTATCTCCTCTTTTCCACGTAAAGTATATTATTGTTCTTATCAGTTCAAGTGGACATTCATCTCGGATACTTCTCAGTCCATCTCCTAGTTTCTTCTTTTCTACATATAGTCTGCTTGCACACATTCCTTTCCCATACACTCCTCCTTCTTTAATGCCTTTTCTGATTATTTTATCTACCTCTATCAGTTGCATCACTAGCCATTTCACTACTGATGCACTGTATGTGAATTTGTGTATCACTCCTGTGTTGGTTCTATTGATGTAATTCATACTACTGTCATTGCTTGTGTTGATTACTTTGATTTCTGCTTCAATATTATTCTTTATCTTCTTTATACATTCTTCATCATCATTTCACGTAGTTTGAAATACTCCTAAGTATTTGCATGGATGTTCTTCATCTACT